TCACAACTACGTTACTCACAACTGCATATGGTTGGGTCCTTCGCCAAGCTATTTTTTGGTTGCTACTGCGCTGCTCTGCTGCGCGAACCAAGTTCAAAGTCCTCTCGACCATTGAGAAGGGCCGAGCAACCGTCGAGCATGGCACTGGAATCAGGTTGCCACCACCACACACTCAGAACCCGATGCGGCAAGTGCACTGCGCCAAACTGCTGAGGAGGAGCGCGCGACTTCCGCTGCCAGGAGCAGCCCCAACGCCCCAAGCCGAGGCAACGAGGACGGCCGAGGTCGCCAGCGGGTCCGGCTCGCTGGACGTCTGAGGGCGGCGGGGGCCACCAGCTGCGCACGCTCTACGGCACGTCATCATGGTGTGCTTGCGATGCGGGCAGTACGCCAAGTCCGCGGTGCTTTCTCTCGCGAATGGCTGCCTGCCTCGCTCAAGACGTCGACCTCGAAAATGGTTGCCTGCCTTCTCAAGGCGCCGACGTCGACGTCGAGAATGGTTGCCTGCCTTGCGCAAACGTTGACGTCGACGTCGAGACTGTCGCCTGCCTGCCTTACGCAAGCGCCGACGTCGAGAATGGCTGCCTGCCTGCTCCAAGGGTAAGCACCGCGGCCCAGGACGCCTTGCGAGAAGGCCAAGGCCAAGGAGCCCGAGGGGGGCAGGCGGCGCAAGGCCAACGTGCTCACGAAGGCAGCGGGCCCCACTGAGCGGGAGGCCGCTCCCCCGAGCAGACGCCTGCGCGGGAGGCTCGTCCTTCCCCGAGCCCCTCGCGTGCAGGCGCCCTGCGAGTCTTCGCCGGGCAGAACCCCTGAGGGGCTGCCGTTTGCCAGCCTCCAGCGCCAGGACAAGAGGGCTCGGGTGTCCGCCGCAGGCCGCAGGAGCAGATCGGGGCGCGCTGCGCGCCTTGCTGCGCAGTGAAAAAAAAACACTGCCCCAGTGGCAGGGTCCGCATGCGGACTCGCATCCATTTTGGCACACCCATCACACGTATCGTGGCCCCAAAAGTAGCTCCACCGAAGGCCCTAATGGCATGGTCCGCATGCGGCATCGGGTTCATCTGGGCATACCACTCCCGCTTTTCATGGCCCCAGAGCGAGCTCCACCGAAGGCTCCAGAGGCTGGGTCCGCATGCGGACTCGAATCCCGTTTGGCACCTCACACGTTTCGTGACCCAATAGGGAGCTCCTCCGAAATCATGCCTCGAGTCCATTTTAGCAGACGTACCCCTCACACGCCTCGTGGCCCCCATAGGGAGCTCCACCGAAGGCCCCAATGGCTGGGTCCGCATGGTGACTAGGGCCAAACTCGGCAGATCCCTTGCACATTCCGTGGTCCCAGAGGGAGCTCCACGGAAGGCCCCAGTTGCTGGGTTCGTATGGTGACTGGGGCCCATGTCGGCAGACCCCTCACACGTTTCGAGGCCCCACATGAAGCTCCGTCAAATCCGCCAGTGGCCAGGTTCACATGGCGTCGGCCCGCTCCATTTCTGCAGACGCCTCAATCGTGTCGTGCCCGCCCCGTTTGCGATTCGAGTCGCGATAGTGCGTGCTTCACTGGGGAACGTTGAATGTTGTCTGACGTGCTTCGGCGAAGCGTTGTTTATAGCCGCCACGCGTTGAAAAAGGGTTGGATTCTTGGCCAAGGGAATTCGGCGAAGTGCACCTCGCAACAATATGGACGAAGAGGAGGTCGACCCGCTCTTGCAGCGACGAATACCCAAGCTAAGGGCGGAAGGCGGGGTCGGAACGATAGCTCACAGATCGACACCAACTGTCGCTCCGAATAACTTCACGAAGTCCGTCCAGCCAGGCCCGCCCACCGAGGTCGGAACGCCAAGGGTGGACGCTCCGCCGCCCAGCCTCGCTGACAAGGCTCGAGGTCGGTTGTTTGCAGAGGTCGACTCTTTGCTGAAGAAAGATCCAGTCGGACCTAGGCCAAAAGAACATGATTCAAGAACATGAGACCCTCCGTGGGCCAAAACAAACAGAACATCCAAGGGTACCCGCCCCAGGATGCACGAACACATCCAACAAGCATGAAGGACACTAGGGCACCCTCCCCGAGCCGACCTCGAAAGTATACCTCGGTCCGACTGTACTCCTCATCCCAGCACCTCTGCGTTCAAATCCGAGCTGAGGTCGAGGCCAGCCGTAGCTTGTGGCTCAGGGGACTTCCCCATGAGAGTCGTACGGCTCCTGTGCTCGGGGGTAGGGGGCGTTGACGTGGCGCGGGCGGTGGGGGCGGTCGGAGAGAGAGGCGAAAGCCTGTTGGACCCCGAAGAGACAGATCCGCGGCCGAAACGGGTTCATGCCCGGCTTCAGGGATGGATCGGAAACCAGTTTAGTAAGACCCTTGGAGGCGCAGGGTCGAAGCCGCTGTCACTGATAACGCGGCTTTGCAGAAAGGTTGGGCCCAGAAACGCCACCTTGCAGAGGTCACCCATATCCCAATGCGGATATGTGGTTTCACGTGAGGGCTGCCATCTCGAACAGAGGCCACAGAAAATGTCGGATCTCGTGGTTTCCTTACCATGTTGACCCAGACGGTCCGACACTCACCAGGCAAAAACACCGATTTGATGGCGGCAACGGGGCTGCCGACGTTCTAGCCGGTGAGGCTGCTCACTTCTCGTGAATCCATGACTCGGAGGAGCGAAGCCGCCAGACACGGACGTCTCGGATTGCGCGGCGGCGCTCGCCAGGAGACGAGTTGTTTGGGGACTCCATTGGCGTTGTCTCGCGGACCGCGGAAAGGCCTCTGGAGGCCCGCGTCGGGGCCTCTGGGCTCCAGGGGGGCCCAGATCCGAAGCCAGCAGCACTGCCCAGTGCGCTATGAGCGCAGATGGCTCTGCGCGCTATGTCGCGCCCCAATGCCAGCCGCTGGGGTCGTTGAACTTAGTAAGACGCAGCGCCTTAATGCGCCAAGGGACCTTTCGAGCCTCGCGGATGTGGAGGGGGTGGTTCGGGCAGCGCGCGGGGCGACGGTTGGGGGGAAGGAGTGCCATCCGTCGCATGTGTTGCATTTCGGGCCCATGATAATCGGGTTGCAAGTTTGTTCGGCGAGTGCCAATTCGGCCACGGATGATTCACGTTACTTGATACGTGTGTGCATCCAGGCCCGTTCCAAGAAAGGTCATGAGAACCTTCAGCGGGTGCGCAAGGGCCTCTTCCCTAGCCCAAAAGGCCCTTCAAGGGCCACGCAAGGCCGCGATGACGGCTTCATCAGGCGGGAAGCCAGCCTCCCTGGCTGCCCGCCTGAATCTTTCTTCTTTTGAACTGGCTACCACACTGGTTACCAGCGAATGCCAATGAATTCCTCCTCCTCCTCCTCCTCATCATCATCATCATCACCATCACCATCACCATCATCATCACCATCACCATCACCATCACCATCACCATCATCATCATCATCATCATCATCATCATCATCATCATCAGCATCATCAGCATCAGCATCAGTATCAGCATCAGCATCAGCATCAGCATCATCAGCATCATCATCATCAACATCATCATCATCATCATCATCATCATCATCACCTCCTCCTCCTCCTCCTCCTCCTCCTCCTCCTCCTCCTCCTCCTCTCCCTTCCCTTTCTCTCCTCCCCCGTTCTTCGCAGATCGTGGAGGAGGATCCGAGGATGGGCATCGGGGAGGGTCGGCCTCCCAACTTCGCGGACAAAGGGGGCGTCGAGAGGATCGGGGCCACCGGCCCCAACATGATCTTTCCACACAAGCGAACGGAGTGCCTGTTGCAACCTGCCGTCTGCTGCTTGCCCCGCCTCGGGCGGACAAATCCTGCCCCCTCGAGTGGACATCAGGAGCATCAGCATCTGCCACGGCCTCGGTGCCCGTGGGCATTGTCCACCACTGCTCAGGAGAACGCCTGTCCTGAGAGGAGGGTCGAGGAGGAGGGTTGAGCAGGGGAGTCTGGAAGAGCTTCTGGTTTCCTTCGTCGACCTTGGGCGGGGTCCCCAGGGTCGGACGGGCGGGGCGGGGCGGACCTTGACGGCAGTGGGGGGGGGGTCCCAACTTCCCAGATCGGGGAGAAGGATCGATGAGGATAATGAGGAAATAAAAGATCGAGGTCACCCAATTTCGCGGATCGAGGAACGAGGACCGCGGATTTGAGCGTGTTTCTTTCTCGGGGCCCCGATGATGCCACGTGGCAAGCTGTTGGTAGAGCCGGCTGGGCCTCGGGCATGCGCTCAGGGCGGTCTAGACCCTGGCAGGAGCAGTCCGCTCCCTGTAGCCAGGAGGGAGGCCGACATGTTTGACCCCTGGGCAGCGAGGCAGAGCTGCCCCCCAGAGGAAGGGGAATCTGGAAGGCTGTCGCATGTCTTTCTTGTTGGGTGGTGGGGGTGCGTTGTCGGGAGTTCTCGGATGGTTTCACCAAAACCCTGAAGCTTTTGTCGGCGGCGAGCCCGGGGGGAAGTAAGATGAAGTCCTCTGGCCTTCTGAACAGTTTTCTCAGCCGTTCCCCGAAGACACCGAAAACTTCTGAGAAGCCCCGCTGCCCTCTGAGAGGGCCTTCTCCTTCTCACTTATCCCCCCCGCTCGCCGCCGATTTTTCAGGGCCCAAATTCGCGGATCGTGCCCCGCGATGCGCGACGCTCGGCTTCGCGCCCTCGGGAGAGGTCATCTTGGAGATGGGCGGCTCCCCGCACTGCGACGCACGACGCGCGGATCTCTTCGCGCCCACGCGGGCGACTGGGAAGGTATCATGGGTGTGCGAAGCCCATGGGCTTCGCACGCCCTCCAACCCTTTTTTCGCCGGCAACCAAACAATGTGGTATCCACATCGCGTGGTGAGTCAGTGGGGATCGGTTTCGGGACTCCCGATCGTGCTCCGAGGACGTCTCGGGCGACTGGGGCTCCGTGGTCCCAGAACCGTGCTGTGAACGGACCGCGCGGTCAGGCTTCCTGGGTCTCCGAAGTCACCACGCAGCCCGTGACCACACGGCTTGTAGGGTCCCCGACGCTTGAAACGCTCCTGCCTGGCCGCCGCCAGCAGCAGCGCCCCAGAGCCGCAGCTGGGGTCCACGACGACGCAGGGCGCCTCGCCTTCGCCGCCTCGGCCTGCACGGCCCCCGCGGGCGACGGGGACGTCGTCGTCGTCGTCGTCGTCGTCGTCGTCGTCGTCGTCGTCGTCGTCGTCGTCTTCGTCGTCGTCGTCGTCGTCGTCGTCGTCGTCGTCGTCGTCGTCGCGTCCGTTGTCGTCGTCGTCGCCGTCGTCGTCGTCGTCGCCGTCGCCGTCGTCGCTTCTTGGGCCGCACAGACGAAGCTCAGAGTAAGGATGTAATGCAAGGGTGGTAAACCCTTGGAAACCACATGTACAATCCAGAGCTCCTTGGACTTCAGCACTGGCTCAGGACGGGCCGCAGAAACAAGGGCGCCAGGGTGGCCTTGATAGCCTGGATGGACTGGACGCGCAGTGCATCCACAAATTTACTGACAGCTAGATTGACCGAAACCTGCCTCCCACACAGCCCGAATATCTTCTTCACGCTCTGAGGGCGGTCCGGCCGTCCGCGCCCTCCACCCCCTCCTCCCCTTACCTCCTCGCCGCCTCTGTGCCTACATACTTCGCTCCGCTGCAGCCCTGTCGTAGCCACGACCGCAGCTTGGATCCAAAGCGCCGCCGATCCATCCACTGTCCGGCTCGCGCGGGAGACGGGGATGTCAACGCGCCGCCGTCGTTTCTCGGATCGCACGGCAAAAAGGGTTTAGGGGGTGTCGCGAAACGGCTCAGGCACTCAGGCTCCCGCAGTCGCGTCGGACACGGCTCGACAAACCTGCCACGGTGGATCTGGGGAGGGCTCTGGGGATAGACTTCGAATGGATTTCTTTGCCGGACGACGGCGACGACGGCGACGACGACGACGACGACGACGACGACGGCCAGCGGCGACGACGGCGACGGCCCATCCTGAGCCGATGCTGCTCTGAATTGCAAATGTGGCTTCCAAGGGTTTACGATCCTTGCATTACATCCTTACTGTGAGCTTCGTCTGTGCGACCCAAGAAGCGACGACGACGACGACGACGGCAACGACGACGACGACGGCCAGCGGCGACGACGGCGACGGCAGCCATGGCTTTCCCGAGCTTGTGATGAACCAGAGGGTGCTGGGCCTGACCGGCTGGCCTTCCCTGGGCTGCTCGGTCCTGTTCCCCTACTGCTTTTGCATCGGCCTTCCTCGGAACGGTTACGGTGGGGGCACTGGATAAGGAAACCTTCGATAAGGAACCCAGGGTCTGGAAGCCGATGGAACTCCAATCGTGGATCGGTGATGGACATCATCGCCGCCCTCATCAGATAAGGAAGCCTCCAGGGTCTGCAGCCTCCTGGGCGCATTCCTTATCGACAGCCCCCACCTTACTTGGTATTGCTTCATTCCTGTTTTTTGAAAAAAGGCCTTGCTCAGAATACTTGGCCTTGCTTCCTTCCTGTTTTTGGAAAAGGCCTTGCCCAGGTTGCTTGGTCTTGCTTCCGTACTGTTTTTGACAAGGCATCCCTCAGGCTGCTCGGTCTTGTTCCCGTCCTGGTTTTGACAAAATCTTCCTCGGGCTATTGTTTCCTAGCCGTTTTCGACGGGGCGTTCATCGGGTTGTTTTTTTCTTCTCTCCGGATTGGTGATGAAGAGGCCTTCCTCTAGCTGCTGGGTGTTATTCTTCGCGCTGCTCTTGAAGAAGCCTTTCTCGGTTTGCTGGGCCTTGTTTCCCAATTCGGCTTTCCAGGTAGCGTGGATCAATGCCAAGCAACATCAACCAATGCCAAACAACGGCAAGGCATGCCAAGCAAATCAATGTCAAGCAACACCGACCAATGCCAAGCAACACCAAGCACTGTCAAGCAACGCCAAACAATGCCAAGCAGAACAATGCCAAACAATGCCGCTTAGGAAACCTTCCCCTACTGCCACCAGTCCTCTGTGCGTGGGTGGTCTAACGGTAACTGTCTTTCCTCTTCCTGAGCCCCTCTTCCCTTCAGAGAGGGGTACCCTCCCCCTCCCCTGCCTGCGTTTTTTTTGAGGGGGGGATCGCGATGTGTCAATGGGTCCCTTTGCGCCCAAGATGGCTTCAAGAGGGCCCCCGATGCTTCAAGAGAGAGCCACAAGACGGTTCCAAGTGCTCTAGAGGCTCTCAAACCTCCCTCCCAAGACGTCCAAATCATTCGAAACCACCAGAATGTGAATGTGTTGCGCCTTCTTGCCTTTTCGCTCCCGATGGGCTTCTGAGGCCACAAGATCGCCCCAACATTGCCCAAGAGAGCCTCAAGTGGGACCGACGAAGCCCCCAAGACGGCCTCAAAGACCGCCCAGGAGCACCCCCAGAGGATCCCAAGACTGTCACAAGCTTCGATTTTGAAGGCTTTTGAGAGGGGGCATTTAAAGACCCCCCTTCTTTTGATCGACGCCCTCCAATATGGCCCCAAGAGGACCCCAAGACCGCCCCAAGAGGGCCCCAAGACCCACCAAAAAAGCTCCACTAGCCAGGATTGCAAGACAGACTCCCCCAAATAGCCCGAGCAGGACACTAAGAGAGGGCCTGCTCGGCCTGCGAGCAAGCTTTCGTCTAACAGCTGTCCCCTGCCTGGGCATCGTTTCTGAATGGGCTGGTGGGAATGCATGAAGCGTCAATATTTGGCGTCGCGACGGGTTCATTGGGCTCCGGAAGCACGCTGAAGGGTGGCCAGAGGCTGGAACAACTTTTTGAAACTGCTGGGGAGGCGCAGGGACAAGACGAGGACGGACGCTTTATCATTTATTGGCCCTACAATTCCCTGATCTGCAAAGCCGTGGATGTGTCAAGGCATAAACCACCCCAAGAACTCTTGACCCCATCCTTGAAGCTTGTTCTTCGCCTTGGGTATATCTGTCTGGGCCCCAAGGCTCGAACACTGCGCTTGGACGCCACATTGTGGAAGCACGCCACACATGTGTTTTGTCTGTTGTTCATTTTCGTGCGATGTCGAAGTTCCCTGTCTGTACGGATCAATATATGCTTGCGGATGACCCCCGCGCATCTCGCAACCACCTCCTAAAAGCTAACGCGGGAAGACAGACGAGGGGGAAGAGGATGCAAGAAAACAGACCCAATGGGCTTTGCCCCATGAGTGCACAACAGCACAGAAATCGGGAATCAGGACGACGAAGACGACGCAGGTAGAAAGAGGAAAGGATGAAACGGATGTCCACCCAACTCGAGCCAGGTAAGTCAGAACGAGGGACGGATGCGGAAGGGGGAAAGAGAAGAAGGGAGGGGGTGGGGGTCGAGCTGTGGGCTTCCCATAAGTGCGCCAAGAAAGCAAGCCCCTTCGCAGAAGGCCCAAGCAAAGGCCAAATGGAGACACCACGAATGAAAGAACATCACAGGGCACACATCCATATACAGATTCTCCAATCAGTGCTTGCACTGAAGGGGTCCTCGCGTATGTTGAAAGATTTGGCGAAAATGCCCCGCCGATTTTGGTCGCACGCTGGGTTCCCGGGTTCCCAGGTTCCCGGGTCCCGGTTCCGGGTTCCCGGGTTCCCGGTTCTGGGCCGATTTCGGAGGGCGGCGAGGTTTCCGGATTCCTGGTCGATCTTCTTATCGATCGGTCTCACCATCGATCTCATTACCGACTTCTCGATCGATCTCACCATCGATCTCAAAATCGATCTCACTATCAATCTCACAAGCGATCTCACTAGAGATCGCATGAGCGATCTCGCGATCGATCTCACTATCGATCTCATTGAATCGGTTTCACTCTCGGTCTCACGATCGACCTTACAGTCGTCCTCACTATCGATTCCACTATCGATATGATTATCGATCTCACAATCGATCTCAAGATCCATAGTATCAATTTTCAAATCAGCCACTGATTGGGTTTCCAAGGTGCAATATATACATATATATATATATATAAATTTATAAACATGTAGACTTACACACAAATGCACCAGAGTGAAGGAACCCGAACGGTCTAACATTATTCCTGCGCGCGCGTGGCCAGAATAGGGGCGGCGCGCCACGAATGCGCAACAAAAAGGCGCGCCAGGAGGGCGCGTCGGGAGGGCGCGCTGGACGGGCACGCTGGGAGGATGGCGCGTGGGATCGGCGCAACGGGGGGGCGTGCGGGAAAGGCGCTCCAGAGGGGGCGTCGGGAGGGCGCGCGGGGAAGGCGCGTGGAGGGGGGGGGGGGGCGCGAGAGCGCGCGCGGGGGGGTCGCGCGGGGGAAGCGCCCTGTGAACGCGCCACGGGAGGGCGCGCGGGGAAGGCGCACTACTAGGGAGGCGGACTTCCTGAAGAAACGCCTGTTCGCAGCCTGGCTTCCCCCCCCCCCTTTGTCTCACTCCTGGCCCCGCGCTCTGATCGTTATTGTGGAGAGCTGCGTGCACACATAAATACATACTCATGCATGTGTGGCTTTGTGTACAAGCATGCATATTCATACGCATACATACCTACATACCTACAGACGTACATACATACATACCGGCGTACATACATGCATACAGAAATGCGAATGGCCCTATACATATGTATGTAAATGTAGATGTGTATGGTTAAAGAGTGTGGGTGCCCATGTGGTGCCTTCTGCTTGGTGAAAAATAATTCCTGCTCGCAAAGGATTGTGAACTCCGTTGCTCGCGCAATCATCCCACCCACCCGTTCGCAACTTGGCTTGCAAAAGACCAAGCGGCGGCGATTACGTGACCTGTTGGCCCTGGCTGGCGCATCGCCGCGGCCGCGCTAGCGCGCGCAAGCTCGCGCGCAGAGCGGGCAGCTAATCTGGCGCGACCGACGCGGCCGCAGTAGCGCTGACCGCTGGGGGGCTTCCCTGCGCGTCTCGCAGGCCGCGCTGACGCGCGGGCACTTCAGTGCGAATCGGTGACTTGGGCGGGCGCAATAGCATGGCGACGTCGGCAACGGTAGATGCGATTCTGCTAATAGCGATGCAGGTGGCGACGGTGACGATGACGACGGCAAGACCAATGACGGCGCCGATGCTGACCACGCCGATGGCGATGATGATGTCCACGTGTCGGCCATGAAGATTTTGGAACGATTTTGACTCGCGCGCGCGG